TAATTTACTATAATCCTCCAACTTAAATTTTTTAACTTAAATCTTTCTTTGTTTCTTTATTACACTATATGTTAGGCTATACATATAATTGTTGTGTTTTTATTACATCATGTTACAACATGTAACTGTTTGAAAAAGGAAGTATTAAACAATGTTGATCTTTTGTAAAAAGTGAGTCAAATTTTTATTTTTAAATAAAAAAATAAAATAGATAAAAAGGTCAATGAGTATAATATATAAAGAGCCAAACTAAAGAAAATATTTCTAGCTATTTGTTCTATTTTCAAACTTCTAATAACCTTTAACCAGAGTTTTTTTTATTATTTTTAGAATGTCCTTTTAGTTTGGATACTAAATGTATTAAGAAATCTATCTGCAAAAAGATTTAACCTTAATACAAACTACCAAAAAAGTTATCTACACCTTAGTTTTTTTATATATTTCTAGTTTATTAGCAACAATTTGCTTTATATATTAAATCAGAATTAAAGATATTATCACTTAAAAACATAATTCTTCAAACTGTTTTAATACTAGTTTGGTTTAAGTAATCATTATAAAGAGTTATTAAACTTATTTTAAAATTTTTATAATTTATTTTAAAAATATATAATTTTATTAATTAGTTTTAAAGCATATTTAAATATATTAAAAAATAAATATAAAAATATTAAAAACATAAAATTTATACTATATATAAATATAGGTCTAGTATTATATTTTAAAAAATTTTATTAAATATATAATCTTATTAAATAAATTAGAATATAATTAGTTCAAAATTAAGAATTTATCAATAAGTTGATACTTAATTTAAAGATTTATAATTATAGTAAAATTTTCTATAAAATTTCTTTTTTTTAATATTAAAAATAAGATTATGTCTTTAATTTTATTAAAATTTAAGTAAAATTTTTAAAAAGAAATACTTGTTTTTAAATTATATATAAAGAATAAAGATTCTAATATATAATTTGTAACTTAAATCTACAAAGCTTATCTAAATTTGTATATAAGTAAAAACATAAAAAAGTATATAATATTTAATTAATTAGAATAATTTTATTAATAATCTTTGAACTGTCTAATTTTTTCTTATTTTTAACTATCATAAGTTAATGCCTTTGCATATAATACTTTACTAATTAAGAAAAAACTTAAACCATAGTTACTTATATATAATGACAATAATAAAGAGATTATTATTAACAAAATTCACAAATATCTTCTAAACACAAATCAGTTTTCTATCTTATACTAAAATGCTATTATTGCTTTAAAATATAATTATTACTATGTTCTTTCAGATTTGAATTGCATACCATATATTAGATATCATCTTAACTCAAATATAATTAATCAAATATGTACAATTAATGTATTAGCAACTATTTGTACCAGCTTTCTAGAAAGAAAAATCTCTAAATTCAAACTTAATATTAATTACATAAACCTTATTTACTCAACAGCAATTAAACATTCTTTACAAATTCTACATAACTATTCTACTATTAATATATCCAATTCAACTATTACAAAAATCTTTAAACTTAATAAAAGTTCAAACAAACTTGAAGAAATCTTTTAAAACAATCTATTATATAAAGAATTTACTTTTTATACAGATAAATCAATAATTGATATTGGAACTAAACAAAGCTTAATGAGTATTAGATGAGTTCAAGTTAATAGTAATAACTAAATTCTTTACAAATTCTTAACTAAAATTCACTTTTGGCTATCAGCCTATAAGGCAAAGCTTTTTTCTATTTTATTAGTAATTTTAACTATACATCATAATGTAATACTTCAAATTTATACTAACTTATAATCTATTATTTCTAAATTTTACAAACCTTCTAATTAATTTAATAATTCTAACAAACTCTTTAAATTTAATATATGACCTTTATGATATATACTTCTTAATATTATTAAATCTTTTAATTTAAATATTAATATTTACAAAGTTCAAGCTTATACAGATGATATCTTTAATACATGGTTGACTCTTTAGCAAAACAATACACCTTTTCTTTAACTTTAAACTTCCAATATATAAATATTTATAATTCTTTTTATATTCTACAATAGAAACAAAATCTTATCAAGCTTCCTACTAGACATTTTATTAAAAATATCTGTAAAGTACACATACTGGCAATGTAGCTTTTATAAAAAAAAACAATATATGGGCTCATATTGATCACAATATAGACTGAAATTTGTATATCTATATCTTAATTATAATTAAAAATTTTTATCTAATTTTATTAACTTTAAACTTAACTAATCTAAAGTTTTCAAAATTAAAACTCATCTAAATTAAGTATCAACATACTTTTCTCTTTATAATATTTATCTAATAATCTTTATAAATGCCAACTGCTTTTAATATAATCTTCCTGACTTTTACTCATACTGACTAACTTGCTTTAATTTATCTATTATTATAAATATTATTAACTTATCAATTCAGTATATTTTATCTAAAATAGATCTTAACTTATCTATTGATTAACTATATAAACTTACTTGCAAAATTTAAAATTATTCTTTATTCAACTAAATACTATTTTAAACAAACTCTTTCTATCTTGACCTTATTCTTAAAGGCCTTATATCTAATAACTTAATTAAAACAATTTACAATTACAACATATTTATCAAAATAATTTTACAAACTATTATTTAAATATTTTTTAATGTTAACAACCAAACTTATAACCAAATATAAAAACTTTATTGCTTGAGTTTTCTAACTGAAAAAAAATAATAATATTACATTTCTTCTAAATTTTAATAATAATCATATCTTTCAACAAATATAATAAACTAGACATTACAAGAGATTATATATAAATTATATATACTTATATCTATATAAAATAACAGATTAATTACATTTATGTCCTAATATCTGTCTACCAATTGGACAAGTTATTAGAAAAAAAATTCAACATATAGTTAACACTTTAGATTAATTATAGTATATCTTATAACTACATTTTAATATTACAAATTTAAATAGGTTTTGACTACTGTAATTAGGTTAGGTCACAGATAAAACTGTCTAAGTTTTAATTTTTGTATATAGTTTTTTATTTTGTATTTTACAATCTTAGTATATTTTAATATATAGTATATTAATATGTATAACTAAAATTACTAATAAAAATATAAGCAAGGCCTTATCTTAATATCAAAAAAAAATTTAATGATCATTAAAATTGAAATAAGAAATAAAGTTAAACTAAAAGAAAAACTATAAGATAAGTTAGTAAAAAATATAATTTTAAATTATTTAGAATACAAAATATATATAAAAAGTTATTTAGTTTAAAATTGATAATATAAAAATTTTTTTGTATAAATCAAAAAAAGATTAATAAATATATTTAAAAAAAACATATTTAACTAATATTAAGAGCAAAATGGATATCAGAATTGCTCTAATCTAATGTTGTTCTGACTCATGTCTTCTTACAACAAAAATACCTCTTAAATAATATAACTATTATATATTAATTGTATCTTGAGAACTGAAAACTAAATTATCTAACTTAAACAATACTATAATAATGCAGTATTAGGAACTATAGTTATTTGTTAGAATAGATCTGTTAGATTTGATTAGTTGTTTGTATTGTAAAAGGCTATTTAAAGTCTCAATCATAATGCCAAATCTAAGACCATTAAGTTTGATGAGAAAATATTTGATCTTGAACTTCTGTGCTATCTATTTTTGTAAACCATCATTTTTGTATATAAATACATTATTTTTTGAGTTAGTAAAAGAGAGTTAGCTAGAAAAGATAATAGTAAACATTAGTAATAGTCATAGTGATAATAAAAACTATAATAGTAATAAACTGTAACCTTACACTTATGCCTTAGCCTTGCCAAATTATTTCGCCTCTTCTATGATATAATGTTTTGTGATGTTTGGTATTTTTAAGTGACAATTCATCACATTTTCATTAACTCTGTATATCATAAACCCCAACCCCCTTCAACAATATTAAAGTCCACATTGTATTTTGTGTAATAAGAGTAAAAATAATGATTAAGATAACTTAACAACATTTAAAAATTACAAAAAAAAATAAACTTACATATAAAATATAAACATCAATCTGATTTAAATACCATTTTCTGAAGAAACTCATAAGAAAACAAATAAGAAAAAACTAAAAAAATCTTTTGATAAACTTTATCAAAAAAAAAATAAAATAATAATATACAAAAAAGCCAAAACAATGTTACAAAACCTTACCAAACACTTATAAAACTAAAGAATTTATAACTACTTGGATTAACACAACATGAAATAACTTTTTTGAGAATATATAGAAAAAATGTTGTAAAATAATAGTCAACTAGAAAAAAAATATAAATAATTCTGTAAATAAAAAAAGTAAAAAAATATGTCAATAAGCAAAACCACTAGCATATTGATACATAAAGAAGAGGAAAACATTAATATAGATAGACAGAACTGAACTATAAAAAAAAAGAAAGAGAATAATAATAATAGAATTCAGAAAACATGATTGAGTTGTCTGTAGTTTCATAAATAAAAAAATAAAATCATTTTTTTTATAAATCTAATGACTAGCTTGGTATGATTTATTACCATCTCTATGGATAATCCGGTTTAATTATCTGTAATCAAAATTTTATCCGAATATTCGATCGTTAGATATAAAAGTTCCATCAGATTACTTGTAGGGCCGATGATTTTTTGCGGTAATATTATTTATTCTTACCAATTTAATTAATATTTAAGTTACATTAAAATATCACGTTAAGCTATATAATTATACATACTTAGATTGCTGAATAAAAAATAAATTAATCTCTTAAATATAGAATACAATAATTCGAGTAATGATGAAAATATACAGTAAATTGAGTAATGATGAAATGATATACAGTAAATTGAGTAATGATACAGAATATATGATACATATTTATACAATTATATAATAGTTATAGCTTTAGAACCTTGAATGCGATGATGGAGTCGGAATTCCATCATCTTGTAACTTAAGTTTATAATATCCGAAAGACAAGGCAATTCCACTAAGTATGCCAACTATAGCGCCGCCAACAGTACCAAGAACAACATATTTAACATCACTTGGATATAAGTTACTGGAATCATTGGACATGACATAATCCGGATATTTACAAGTATTATTGTTTACTAATGTAGTTGGATTATTTCGTTGAGGTGCACTTATTGTTGAAGTTACTGTTAATGTAACCGGAGGAGATATTTCTGCAAAATTTACACTAATTGTGCGGAAAGAAGAAAAATCATAACTATAACCCCAGCCACAGTCAAATACATGACAAGTCGGGTAATAAAGTGTCGCAGTTATCGGAGAAATAGTGTCAGGAGGTGGAACAAAAGGTACTGCAGTTTCTGTGATTGTAAGAGTTTTATATGGTGTGCCACTAGTTCGATATGTTATGGTATAATAATGTGTGGGTTGTTGTCGTTTCTGTAAATCTCTTGCAATAACTTCTTGACTATTGACTATAATATCTCCTTCAGGGGCTGCAGTTTTTCTGCAATAGCTTCAACCCTCATTATTATCAATATACAAACGAGTAGGTACATTAACACTTTATTTATACTGCGACCCATTTCAAAAGTGCTTCGTAGACATAATGAAAAAACCTGTATGCTTTGTCAGGTCTGAATTTATATCTTTCTTTTGTTTTTATTTGTGCGAGTGATATTTAAAAAGTAGCCTATCAGATAATATAAATTCAGTCATTGAAAATTTGTATGATGTACGTGATTTAATCTAATCAAATTCATAGACTTTAGAGTTAACGTTAATGTTTTGATTTACTGTATATCGTTATTTCTTAATATAGTCTTTGATTTATTGATGAACGATGAAATTACCGAATAAATTATTATTGTTGATCAGATGACTTTATTGAAAAACATATGAGAATACGTCAGCTATCATTTACAGGCTCAATAATTCTATGATACGTACTAACTTCTTATAAGCATTGCTAATCCCAACCACTGACCTGTCCCTAGGCGTCCCCAAGCTACCTTTAATGCACTACCATATCTGACCATCAAACCTTCTGTAGGTACCACCAAAGAAACCGTGAGACTACTAACGAGCTAGTAATAATACCTCATGTAAGAAAGACTTAAAGAAGGGCACATAGATAAAAGAGAATCGGTCGAATACTTATTTTAAGAAGGTTTCTGCACTGTATCTTCAGCCGCAGAGTCTAATTACACTACGAGGTCCTTTCATTGCCACTGCAACCGTGGAGCCTCGCACACTCTTATTAGGTCCTTGCTCTGCTACTGCAGCCGTGGAGCCTAATTGCACCTTGATAGGTTCTTGCACTGCTACTGCAGCTAAATACACTAGATCTAGTCTTGCTAGTGTTGGCAGGCGAAACCCAAGAGTTTTGCCACAGATAAAAGGTGAAACTAGTTTCAACTTTGCGCCCAAGAAATCTGTGCGATCATAGTCATGTGAAAGTCCAGATGCATAATTCGAATCTCAGACCTCTTTTCCTTATGTATGTAATATATCATATGTTGCGAACTAAACCTTATCGTTAAGTTACATATTTGAATGTTGTGCAAGCAAAAATTTTACATATTCAGCATACAAGAGCTTATATTCAAAACAATCAGCATACCATCTGCATGAAATTCGCTTTGAATCCAAATATGTTGGCATGCGATAGAGATACATTGCAGTATTTACTTTATGTTAATAGATTTATTTATGTAAAATATTATTGATAGTTATATACATTTTAATATATCATTAACTGTTCATAGTCAGATTGAGTTAGCAAAATACTCACTAACATAATTAAAATTTCCTCTCTAATCTTTGACAATAATATATTCTTTTTTTTTTTTTTGAAATGCCAAAGTAGAAACCTTATTAAATAATAAGAGAATTATATTAAAGATTTCTAAACTACATTTGTGCTACTTATTTTAAAACATTCAATGTAACATTACATCTTTATTTCTATATAATACTATTATTAATTGTTTTAAATTAATTTTAAGTATAGAAACCTAAGGTGATAGTCTTAGCATTTAGTAAATACAATTAGTAAGTAAATAGCCTAATAATAATCAGTTTTTAATAGATATAGTAGGGTCAATAGTAGATATATTGAAAATATTAGATGTTGATTGAAAGGTAGAAACTAAAAAGTAGATTTTTGAATGCTTGGATTCAGTAATTATATTGCAAGTTTTTTATTATTGTTGTTAAAGAATATTATGTAGTAATTATATTTATTGATAGAACCAATTAAGAGAAATATTTGTTAAGGTTATAAGAAAAGATAATGTTGTTTTATAAAGGAGTATTTAATATTATCATATAAAGATATAGGATAGAGGTCTTGAATAAGATTTAAAAAATAAAGATGTAATAATGTATTAATGTAGTAAAGTAATTAGTATAAATAGTTTTTGTAATTTTAGTAGAAATATTTAATTGTTAGACATTATTTGTAATTAAGTTATAAAGAATTTGTTGAAAATTAGATTTTTGTTTATAATAAGTTAATAGATGAGATATATCTTCAATTGATTAACAATAGACACAATTTGAATAATATATAATAAAGGATAATATATATTTAGGTTTTGCATAGTTAATAAGTTATTATTAATAATTTTTAGTTAGAATAAATAAAATTTTTAATTATTATTAAGTGAATTAATAATATTAAGATTGGTAGACTATTTAATAGAAAATGAATTTTGAAAGTATTTAAGTCATGACCAAGTAAGAAGTAATTAAATAGTTATAATATTTAGAAAAAAAAGTGAGTTTTAGTAAAAATTATATAATCATGCTATATAAAGTAGAGAAGAAATATTATTTTAAAGTTGAATGTAATTTAGTATTTAGTAGTATCTTGTTTAATTAAGAGAACAGCTTTTTATGAAAATAGTTATTAGAATGAGATTTGATTTTGTAAAAAGAAATATTAAAAGACTTTGTTTTAATAAGATAATGAATAATGAATAGGATATCTTAGTTTTTATATAAGAGAATTTAAGTAAAGATAGGAATAGTTAAATATTTTTATGTACAAAAGATTATCCAGATATATATTATTTTGTAAATTTATTGACAAGATAAGGAGAAGATATATTATTACTTCAAGTTCTGCTTAGGTAGAATTAAAATGTAAAGAAATAGAACAGTTAAATTTGATTTGATATTGTATTCAAAAATTCATCTGATTTCAATTTTAAGATGTAATATTTGAGCATTAATAATTGAGCCATCTGTATAAAAATTAGTATTGTTTGGAAAATTTTTTGTTAATAAAAATAATTTGATAAGTTGATTTTAGTAATTGAAAGATAATATATATGTTTGTTTTATTTGGATTTCTGTTTTAGGAATATATATAATTAGTGTTTGAGTTGGTACAAGTAGTAGAGAAGTTTGCTGTAATATTTTGATAAGTGTATAAATATAATATATTTATTTTTTCTTGACAAGTAAATACAGAAGATGTATTTTAAACTATAATACAAATCTATTATAAAAATATACATATATATACAAATGTACTATTAATAAAATTAGTGATTATAAATATATATAATTATACATAAATGTACTATTTTAAAACTAACTAATTCAATTAATTCTTATTTATATTTTGAATAAGATTATATGTTTTTTTACTAATTGCTTATTTTTTATATATTGATATAATATAATAGTTAATATTTTCCTTTTTATTGGATTTTTTTTGTATTTACTAACTCAATCCACATTATAGTTTTCACATTACTCTTTATATGTGTTAGTAAATTAATATTTCAATCTATATTATAAATAAATAATCTTAATATTGAAGTAAATTTTATTTTTGTAACATTATATTATTTAATGAAATTTTAAGAATGATTTGAGAATTGATAGTTACAGTTTTTATAATTTTGTTTGACAGTTTTAAGAAACAATTTAGTAAAAAATATATTATGCTTAAAAATAAATTATTTAAAATAGATTATAAAGTATAATAAGAATTATATAAAAAAAAATAGTATACATACTTATTTTTATATTTAGTTGTAATAATTAAGTTTATTTCAGACTTTTTTAATTTTAGATTCTTATTAACTTTATTACAATAATCTAGTTCATTTTATATTATTTACAAAATAATTAGAGATAGATTCTAATTTTTTATTGAATTTATTTAATAAACTAATACTAATATAAATAAAGTTATTGTTATATACTTTCAAAATTAAGCATCCTTTAAATAAAAGCATCTAGCATTCTATATATATCTGAAATTAAGCACCTTCCTGTTATCTACCAAACAACCTATCAACTAACTAACTTATTTATTAACCAAACAACCAACTTACCTATTAGCCAACCAACCCACTTATCAATTAGCCAACTAGTCAACCAATAAACCTATCTATTAACCAACCAAAAACCTAACTTAATAATTGTTAAACACAATAATATAATAAAAATCAGATATCAGAATCTTACATAATAGTAGGTATAACAATCAATTTCTTAATATGAATATCTTAATAATTAATTGTATTAATGCAATTTATTAAATAAATCAAAAAAGTGAAATTTAATAAAAAAAAAGATGTAATAATAAAGATTGATTTATTAAATCTAAGGATTTAGATGAAAAGGTTGAAGTAAATAAAAAAATAAAAAAATAAGATTAATATAATTAATAAAATTTTAATTAAAAGTTAATATAAATAAAAACTGAAATAGTTCTAAAGAAAACATATTTTATTTGCTTTATTAAATACAAGTTTTAATATATTGTATTATTTATAATAAAACTCTTATACTATATTTAATATAAATCCTGTAAACTTACTCTTCACAGCTGTGCAAGCCAAGCATATAGTGAGCGAATCTACAGAAGAATTTTCTATTTCCTTGAACCCCATTTTATCATCTCACATCAAGAAAGCTCTGCAAGAACCTACTCACAATACATTATATGATCCAGACTCTTGCTATAACAAATAGTTAACATATCTAAAGCTACCCTTACTTCTATATCCACAAACACTCAACTCATTTCTAAAACACATCCACCAATATAACTTTATACAATACAATAACTTTAACTATGCACTAAGATTAGCAATCAAACTGGACTATAGTGAATACTATATACACCTACCATATGTGTCTTAACCCTTACCTGATTACTTCTTCCCACAATTATCAGGTTATACCTACTATCTATTCATACCTATTTCCTCCAAATTCTCTTTAATTAACAATAATACATTAGATACTAATCTAATTATAAAGGATGATGAATTAGACAACAATTACTCCCAAATAGTAGGAGCTACTTTAGAAGGCCATGATGAAACCATTATAGCTAACTGATACTATGACAACATCCAATTTAATACTTGTTATAGCAAATTTCTATTTTACAACCACATACTACTACTTCCTCATCCTCAAACTATTATTACTTTTTATGACACATTCACAGCTTTGGTTACTCATCTGATAACTTATGTAGCTACACATTAACTATCTCTATTAAAAATGATCATAGTGAAGCTCATGTCTATATTCTATCAGAACACAAACCTCT